AAATTGGCTCAACATCATTTCTTATCAACAGCGAACTTGAAACCTCGGAGCGCTTCAGTTGTTGCTGCTCCGTGAAATCGTGTGGCTCCCAGTTGTCGAGCTTCTTCACTATTCCAAGCAGCTCGATGTGGGCAGCGACGACTGTAAGGGAGACATCCATCTTCTTGGCATTCTTTCTCAAGGTTGACGTCGATCTTCTTCCACTGCTCTTAGCAAAACATCGTGATCAACTAACGATGGTCGACCAACTCGCTCTTCGTCTTCCATTGACCCGTCTCTACTTCTGAACTTCTGAAACCAGCGACGAACCGTTCGCTCCGATGCAGTGCCTTCTCCCCGTACAACGTTAATGTTTGTGGCTGCATCCTTCACGGTTGGACCAAGTTTGAACCCGTGAAGTGAAACCGTTCAAAAAGCAGTCTTATACATTCCGCTAAAAAACCTCCTAAGGATTCCAAAATTTTACGGACTTTGAAGAAAGCGCTATGACAAAAAGAGCAACTAGTAACTTACCTAAGGAACACAATATGTCGATTAATCTGAATGGACAGCCGCCAAAATTTGAATTCATATGGCGCGTGCGTGGGAACGGTCAGAACTTTCCTTACAACCTAATAATATCGGCGTCTAAAACCTGCCCCCACTATTTATACCAAATTTGAACGCCCAAGAGCAAATTAACCATTTTCACGGAGGCCCCCTCAGTGGGCGGAGTCAAGACCTGTCACATACCATTAATGTTCCCATACTGCCAAGTGTACTGCTACGAACTTTGAACTCGCTAGGTCCACTGATCTAGAGTATGAATTACTTGTAAAATACGTATACACACAACAAAACACAACACCCAACACAACACAACACGCACCTGCAAACCAACAGCCACGCTTAACGAATTATGTATGGTAAGGAGGAATCTTTATTCACTGTCTGGTGTACAGTCGACTTTCAAGAAACAGTCGTGCCAGACAAAAAAGAATCAGTAAACCTGGGATCACGTCAAACAGAGTTTTCGGTTATTGATGGTTTTGCGTTAGGTTTCAATATACTTATATGTCACTTATATGTTTAGTGGACACGAGATGTATTGAATCGGGAACGCGTTCAGATGATGGACCTAGTGTTTGAAAAGGATTTTCATTGGATTCATTCAACATTTTATCACCATATGTATTGTATAGTGATGTTGTTGGAGCAAGTGTTCTCCTGAAAAATTTATGTGATACGATAATGCATTTCTACTTTGATTGCTTGGTTGTAACTTGAGGCAAGGTTGCTAAAATTACTCCATTCACACAATTCGCTGACTTTTTCGATGTAAAGAGTTGCTCGTTTGCCTGTAATGCCTATAGAAAAAAGAGCAATCTTGCAGAAGTGGAAATTGCTGTGAAAGAGGAAAGAATGAAAATGAATTTGAATGTAATGGCCATCACTTTGGGCTAATATGAGACCAGAAGATCATGCTCATCGTAAGACTGCAAGAGTCGCATACTTCTATGCTCTTAGCTCTGCCTTCTGGCTGTGAGCATGCCAAATTCGAG